CGAGTACTAGTAGTAGTAGTAGTAGTAGTAGTAGTAGTAGTAGTAGTAGTAGTAGTAGTAGTAGTAGTAGTAGTAGTAGTAGTACTAATCGTAGTAGTAGCAGTAGTAGTAGTAGTAGTAGTAGTAGTAGTAGTAGTACTAATACTAGTGCTACTACTACTACTACTACTACTACCACTACTACTACTACTACTACTACTACTACTACTACTACTACTACTACTACTACTACTACTACTACTAGTACTACTACTAGAACTAGTACTAGTAGTAGTACTAGTACTAGTAGTAATTGTAGGAGTAGTAGTAGGAGTAGTGGTAGTACTAATAGTAGTCCTAGTAGTAGTAGTAGTAGTAGTACTAGTAATAGTACTAGTACTGGTACCACTACTACTAGTACCACTAGCAGTGCTAGTAGTGGTACTACTAGTGGTAGTCCTGGTACTAGGGATCCTAGTTGTAGTAGTAGTACTAGTACTAGTAGTAGTAGTAGTCCTAGTAGTACTAGTCCTAGTAGCACTAGTAGTAGTAGTAGTAGTAGTAGTAGTAGTAGTAGTAGTAGTAGTAGGAGTAGTCGTAGTAGTAGTACTCGTCGTACTGGTAGTAGTAGTAGGAGTAGGACTAGTAGGACTAGTAGGACTAGTAGTGGTAGTAGTAGTAGTAGTAGTAGTACTAGTAGTAGTAGTAGTAGTAGTAGTAGTAGTAGTAGTAGTAGTAGTAGTAGTAGTGGTAGTAGTAGTAGTAGTAGTAGCACTAGTATTAGTACTACTACTACTACTACTACTACTATAGTAACACTGGTACTAGTGCTGGTGGTAGTAGTGTCCTAGCAGTAGTAGTAGTAGTAGTAGTAGTAGTAGTAGTAGTAGTAGTAGTAGTAGTAGTAGTAGTAGTAGTAGTAGTAGTAGTAGTAGTAGTAGTACTAGTAGTTGTTGTAGTAGTAGTAGTAGTACTAGTAGTACTAGTAGTAGTAGTAGTAGTAGTAGTAGTAGTAGTAGTAGTAGTAGTAGTAGTAGTAGTAGTAGTAGTAGTAGTAGTAGTAGTAGTAGTACTCGTACTAAAAGTACAATCAGGAGCACGTGTAGGAGTGCGAGGAGGCCGAGTACAAGTAGTAATGGTAACAGCCATAACATCTACTACACAAGCAGGGGGGACATAAATTTTAGTCTTGCAGCTTAGTTTGTTCGGTTGCCCGACAAGAACCCCACTTTTCAATTGTGTAGTTCTGCAGCCGCTTGGATTGGCATGTGTCGCTGGGCAGCTCTGTGACGGGCTTCGGATTCCCCTTATCAATCACTAATATTAATCTAGGCTACCTTGAGATGCAGGTGGATAGTGTCAGATTTAAGTGTCGACTGCCGGGGCGATAACTATACAGCACTTCCTGACCGGGGCCCCCAAGTAGGCTGCTGATTGGGAGCGAATGATTTCAGGACCACAGATGACAAATCTTCGCAAGCGATTCGCGAAAAGATTATGCAGAAGATGTGTTATTTGGATCTATGTTTCCTGGAGAAACGAGAACTTCCATTCCAAGCGGCGCCCGAGACTTGGGAGGTGGGCTCTGCAGGGCATGGCTTTAGTCATACACGGGGTGGTTCCGAATTTCCTACTGTGTAAGCAATTATTACTTGGGTTACTTGGTGAACAATAACAAAAACTACTTTACGAAAACTAAGCCCTCAACCCTTAAAGCCCGTAGCAGCTGATCGTTTTTTGGTTCTCAATCAATTGAACCGAATCAGGCAGCCCTCGAGAAGCACCGAAAGGACTTCTGCAAGCTGGGTATGTTCATTCGGCCGAGGCTCTTCGAGAATGAACAATCCCAGCCCGAAGCTGACCAAGAACAGCAGAGTCCCGAGAAGACCAGCCCGACGCCGTATACTCCCACGGAAGTCGTCTACCTTCAGGTTGCTGGTGCTGTGAAAGGTGTGTTGCAACTGCACAAAGCTGCTTGCCGAACGGAACTCTTAATTTTTCACTTGATTCGATTGAAGTAGCTTAGTGCCGCCCCTCGCCCGAATGTTCACCGCTTCAATCATTCAGGTACCTGTCGGGGACAGTGTCCTCGGCTACAGAGTCCTCTTTCGTTCTGAAGAAGTGTGGGCTTTGTTGAAGCGGGGACAGAAGTTCTACAACTGGTTCACAAAATTGTCTCGCTGCTGCAGATGACACACTGTTTTCTCTACTAATAGTAAGACCCTATTACAATATCGCCATGCCCTTCTGCTTCCGAAACTACCACTAAACGCAGTAATGCTAAAACCCGGACCACCAACCCTACTGCTGCTAGTTCAATGATTCAGAATCATGAAATAAAGTAGATGTTGAAACCCATCAGAGTAAACCCTAATGAACACCTTAAACTCAGTATTGTGGCCATCCCAATTCCAAGTTTCAGCTCGAGGCTCGACGGGCAGAACCGCGACGTTGCTGAAGCTTGGCGAATCGATGTCCTGGAACATTTGATCAGAAAGGACAATTACCGGGGCAAGGCCAAGCGGACAGGGGGTCTCAAGCTGCCCTATGATGCTATGACAGCTCCAGGAGCTGTGTTCACAGCTGCTTGTCTTGAATTGCAGAACAACACGTGGCCGTGACGATCCCTTGAACGTGTGGTTTATTGTCCGAGGTTACATATGTCTTGCAGGCTCGCGGCTGCCCGATGGCCCTGCAAAAGAAGATGCTTGAGGTGCTGGAGGTCCTGCTGCAGCCAGTGCGGACCAAGAGCATGGAGATTCTTCTGCTTCCCAATGTAGATGCATGAGCCTTGGATGGTCAGAGGGTCACACAACAAGGAACTTCGAAGCATACTTTCTCTTTCCGAGGGAGCATGGCTTAAGACACCCTTCATTCTGCACTGGCAGGCAAGATTACTGTTCGATCTGGAGAAGTCCTCCTAGCTGATTGGGCGGATTTTCTTGACCATAGCAACCTCCGCTTGAGGCTTCCGTGCGGATTAACACATGAGTATCCTGTCGACCTGCCTTGAATCAATATGAGAGATCATACCTCCTGGTTGAATCGAACAGGTGGGCTGGCTGTCGTGCTCTTACGCCTCAGCTCCAGTCCCTGGACACAGGACTCGCCGAGTTGTTATAGTTGCTGAAACTATTGACATATTATTACTCGTTCCTGTTCACTGCAGGAGTGCCTCTGCACGTGGCGCTGTGGTTTCTTCTTCGAGTTCCTCACGAGGATACGCTTGAGGCGAGTGCTGTGTTGCCGATCCCACTATTAATTTCTGAAAACACAGCAACTGCTGTCGAAAGCATAATAATGCTAGTAGTAATATCAGTGAATCTATTTGAATTTAGATTAATTAATTTAATTCATGAATCAATAAAACCCAATGCAGACCCTAAGCCAAAACCTCCAGCCCTCACAAGTCACGCAGCTTCCTGGTCGTATGCATACTTTTTTGCACCAGTGTCATCATTATGCAATTGTTGTTAATGGCAACAATGTCAATACTCTGAGTCTTCTATTCTACCGTTGCCAATACAGTATATGTCAGCTGCAATGTGTCTGCATTGTCTGTGTCCTGTCTGACCAGGGGCGACTGACGTATGCCCGGCTGCAGAGACGCATGATCCACACTGTGGCCCAGCAGCTTGAGCACAGCCTTCGGGAATGTGAGCAACGACAGATGCCAACCCCTGCTGCCGATCACACGATACATCCTGCTATGAAGTAACCCGGACCTGTTGGAGACTTATTGTGGCTTACTGGTGCAATCATTCTAAGACCCTGCTTCGCAATATCCCCGGTTGCAGGGATGGACGACAACTCCGACAGGATGCGAAACCCCGTGAGATGCTGGCCATCGACAGATTTGTCTCCAAAGGAGGTGGCCTCATGGGCCACGATGCTACACTAGACGATTTGGGCCTCCACGACCTGGCCCCTCCCAATGCCTGCAGGCCTGCCAAGCCCACTTCCTAGGATTGGGGGATTGTATATGTTAGTAGATTACTAATTAATTACTAATAGCGACAGAATCGGTGCCAGGACCGTTTCCGACTTTGTGCACAGATACCTCCGACGAGGTGCCGTCGAGATCGAGAAGGACTGCTCCTCCCTCTAGCGAATCAAGTCCATCACCCCCAACATGAACAAGAAAGCCCAGCTCGCACCGTCCTATTCAAACCTGAAACCCTCAATCTCTGGACCCTAACTAATTAGTAAGCCTTACTAAAAACCTTAAACCCTATAAAACCCCAAAACCCTTGGGAACCCTGGACCGCATTCGTTGCTTCGGCCTCCAGGGTTCACACCATTGAACGATTGGCCTTCCTGTCTTTTCCTGTCCAGGGTTAGGACGTTAGTTTTGGTGGTCTAAGGTTTAAGGTTTTCAGGGTTTTGGGGTTCAGGGTGAGTGTCGGCTTGAGATTAAAAGTCAGGGTCTTTGATGCTTTTAGAGTTCCATCTTAGACTAAGCCCATGGGTTCGATGGATACTAATGACTCAGTTCGATCTCATCATCGGCCCGCCCTATCCGTCAGCCTCCCAAAACCTCGTCTTCCCACCGCCCTACGCAAGAAAACCGAATCAATTTCAATCCCCGCCAAGTCTTCCCGGGTATGACTCCGTCGTTAACCACCTCTGTTGCCACACCACCTACACTAAATCACCCGCTAAGAAATCTAGTTAGTTAGTTAGTTAAATTTATTGACTAGTATGATTTAACCCTAAGCACCTAATTCATGTGGAATTGACTACACCTTGGCCCATAACCTCCTAATAATAAATAACCATGGCCCTAACTCTGTAATTCTTGTCTTGGGCTGAGTAATGCTGAAGCACTTAACCGCTTAAACCCCAAAGGCCCCCAATCTCTACAGGAGATGCAGACCCAGCTGTTCCCGCACATATCTGTTATGTGTGATGCCTCACCGAAAGGCAAGCTGGATGCTCCCTGGTTGCACCCGTGAGCTGTTCAGCTTTCGAAATCTTGTTGTAGACACAGGAGGGATGCTTTCTGTGCAACTCAGTTGTGGATGCCCCTGATCACAATGGGTAGTCTGGTGACTGTTGGAACGGTCCAGAAGCTGAGCACTCTCTTGCCATCCTCCGTGGCAGCACAGCAGAAACTTGAAGCCGCAACAATGGTTGCGGAGTCCGCCACAGTGTGTTTGGGCAATGAAAACAAGAAGACCGCGAACAAGAAAAAGCTGCAGCTTAGCTGGATATTGAATAGTACACTGTGTCAATCGTGCTACATAGAGAGGACCCCTCACAACAAACCACTTACCACATATTCAGCCAAGGCCCAAGGCCTTGGGAGCAATTCGAGAACAACGCCTGGCGGCGAAGCAGGAACTGAAAGCTGTTCGCAACATATTGGAGCATGCCAACTTCGACCTGGATAGCATCTTTCCCGAGACCCCTTTGAGGCCAACCGTCCCCGCTTCTGAAATCAGAGGCCAGCACAGAGTGGGCTCAGAAGTTCTCGCCTTCAATGTGAACACGAGCACGGGTGAAAGCACCTGGGCGGCGGTCTTGCCCCGAGGCGGATAAGGCTGTACGCCTGGTGTTGGCACCGGACGAAGGAGGCCCTCTCTACGCCTGCTACCAATACATGGCACTTCAAGGTGCAAAGGTGACGCTCAATCGAGATGCTTTGCTGCTCGGTCTGTAATTACTGTGCTGACTGTACTCAATTGCCTGCCATTCCTATTCCTGACTGGCCCTAGACCCTGCAATGACTTTAGCGACTCATGTGAATCGCACAGCAAAGGCACAAGCTACATGCATACTGCGGTCGAGTTACCAGCTGCTCCCCCACGATCAAGCGAGCCTGGGCTGATGCATGACTTCTTTCATTTTTGCAATGTTGACGCCCAGCTGTTCCTAGGCATGTGCGAACTGTCCGGCTGGCTGTTCCGATCAAAGAAGAGCCCCTGGGGCACCCATGCCACCGGCAACAACTTGTCTGAAGGATGTCTTCGGTACTTGAAGGTTGCAACTTCTTCGCATTTGGTACTGAGAACGTACTCCCGCAATCGAACCCTGAAGACTCTTTCGCAAAGGCAGAGCCCGGAGATGCTTTGATGCAGCTCTTTGGAAGAGATATTCTGAAAGAGCGACTCGGTGAATATCGGATGTGGTTTGTAGGTCCTAGCTGTCAATGCACACACAAATATTTCTTCGCTCTGAGGAATGGAATCCATGAAAGTGGCGACGAGCACCTCAACTTCACGAAGACCATCGAGATTCTGGAGAAGGCGGCCAAGAAGCCCGAAATGCACTCAGTAATCCTAGCCTTTCCTCGTCAATTAGGTACCGAGCCAACCCCCAATCCTAAAAGCGCCAAGGAACAAGAAGGGATCCTTTTCGTGGTCCAGATGGTGTTCCTGGGCACATACATCGGCCAACTACCAGTACAGCTGCCATTTGTTGCAACTCTTCTGGAGTTCGATGGAGGTGCCAGCAGCCTCAATCATTAAAGAACGCTAGTCTAATAGTCGCAATCAAGGTATTGTACTGAATGATGTCAGATTTCTTGCAAGCAAGAGTAGTAGTAATACTGCAATTCCTACTAGTGCAGCTAAACTGTGTCTGAGTTAGGGCCTAGCGACCTAAAACCAGGTATATTGTTACACTAATAGTACCGCCGCTGCTACTACCGCCACTACTACTAGTACTACTGCTGCTGCTGCTACTACTACTGTTACCACTACTGGGGTTATCATGATTCTGGTTCTGATGGTTGTTGGCTTGGTCTTGTTGCGATTGAACCACCGGCAGACAATTCAGAGGGCTAGGACAGCAACAACGCAAGTCTTGCCATCAATGAAGCCGCTGATAGTTGAGATAGCTTTTAATTAATAGATGTTAGGGGCCCTCTGAATTGTCTGCCGGTGATTCAATCGCCCGTAGTGAGCCCAGGTGCTGCAGGTAAACCAATCGCCCATACCGTATATTGGGACATGGTCGCAACTATATTGATAATGGCAGCATGATTTAGTTATGTTAATGTAACCTACTACTGATAATACTACACCTACAGACAGAGGCCTCAGCTAAAAAGTTCAGTAGTATTATCTTGTTAAAACCATAACTTACTTAGTCACCCTCACATCCCCCAAAACCTTTGTCCCAACCCAAACATTAAGTCACCGCTTTCAATAATAGAAGAATACCACTGACTATGAACTAATGAATAATAAATCATAATTTAATAGTAATATAATAATTATAAATTAATGATAAATTAGTTAGTTACCCTGACCCCCTACACCCTAAACCTCAAACCCGAGAGCAAACCCGGCTGCTTTCGGCGGCACCTGCAGAACCTAAGGAACCAAGGAATAAAGTAAGTCGGGGAGCAGAAGCTGAGGTTCAGGCTCAACGATTGCAGCCTAAGCTTTGGGTGCTGCTTCTATCAGAGGTCATAATTGCAGTTTGGTTTTTGTGACTATGGATTAGACCACGACAGGGAGTATCCAACCGAAACTTGTCGACCAAAGCTGAGAGTACGGTGCAATGTTTCGTGGCAATCATATATTAAGTCGATCTACATTATTTGCAACCAGGACCCAGTGATTGAAACCTACAAGACCCTAATTAGCTAACCCCGGAACTGTAAAGCCAAGTTTTGGTGAAGTCATCTCTGGGTGTAGTGGGTCCTTGCTCCGTGACTCTACAGTCACATATTCTTACTCCACCGACAAACCAAAGAGTATTGATAAATACACGTAAGCCCAACCTCCCAAAACAGTACTGGCAAAATGAACAGTGAGAACGTGACTAAGTTCCGTTGAACCAAATCTAATCAATGTTTTCAGAGTCGTACTGATGCCAAGGACATTGCAAACATACCGAATATTTGAGTGAGTAGACTCGAACAGAAGACCTCAGTATCACCCTGAAAGCAGCACGCATTGCAGGTCGGCCGCAATCCGTGGACCATCCTTGATTCCAGGGCATCATCTTCTTCCTCGGAGCAGGGCTTTGACAAAACCATGGAGCTTTGTGTGAAAGCACCCCGGTTTATTTCACTTGTGCACGCCTATTTCATTGATTCACTGCTGGAGACACAAGTTATTTGTTAAAAGTTCTCGCAAGGCATTGATGGATGAGGAGTTGTATCATATTTTCCTGGTGGCCCGCAACATCGTGGCTCCGTGGAGAGATTTGTGCTTGCAGCTCGTGCCCTGGCTAAAGCAGGAACATGTCACATACATATCATGTGTCTACGTATGTGGTAGGTACATATGCCGTCAGGTGTGTAAATATATCGTAGCCACCCACATGACATGTGTGTTTGTGTGTGTCTCTCTCTTTCTCTCTCTGACCCCAATGCCTCAATCATTCGCACATTTGATCTAAGCAAGAAGAATGCAAGCAAATGTGGGCATCCCACCGCCACACTCTGGAGATGAATGGAGATTGGCCAGAGCGAGCCCTTCAAAGTCTGGCAGCCCAGACTCTGACTTCCCAGAGGACCGCCGATTGAAAAAAATCAAGCGGGATTGAAAATTCTCAGCGTTTTGATTGTGTCGATCAAATTCAATAGAAAACGATCTTTTTCAATAGAAATTTAAATCCTCAAAATCAATAGAACTGCGACATAAAAATCAATAGAAACCTCCACATCAAAATCAATAGAAAATCTCCATAAAATCAATAGAAATTTTCCATAAAATCAATAGAAATTTTCCATAAAATCAATAGAAATTTTCCATAAAATCAATAGAAATGTTATCTCAAATCAAACGAGAAACACTTCTGACATCAATAGATTTCAGCGCTATCTCTGCCTCCACCACTATATATAATACCTCTACCTCGACCTCAACCTGTACCTTTATCCGTATCTCTGCCTGTATATCTCTACCTTTACATCTTTACTTCTTTATCTCTCTATCGCTGTATATCTCTCTATCGCTCTACCGCTCTATCGCTCGATCTACCGCTCTACCGCTCGGTCGCTCTATCTCTCTATCTCTTATATCTCCCTGTCTCTCTATCTCTCCATCTCTACCTGTATTTTTATTTCTATATATCTATCTCTTTCTTTTTTCTCTTTCTCTATCTCTCACTTTCTCTTCCCCACCCTTTCCCAGAAGGCTTCCAGCCTAACACTTCTTTTTCACAGCAGCGGCAGGGAATCTTGGGTGAAGCTTCTTTTGAGCTCTCCTTCGAAACTTGGCCTTGTAAAGGCCTCGGAGCCTAACTTTCAAAAACGGTTCCTGGCTACTTGGACTTGGACGTGGAATTGGACTCAGGCATTCCAGCCTAACACTTCTTTTCCACAGCTGCGGCAGGGAATCTTGGGTGAAGATTCTCTTGAGCTCTTCCTCAAAACTTGGCCGTGGAGGCTTGGAGCTTACCTTTCAAAAAAAAGCTCCGGGCTACTTGGGCTTGGACTTGGTATTGGACACTGGCAGCCCGCATGGCTGCAAGCCGTCCCTGACTCTCGGGTTTTGCTTGATGATCATTTTTTGAATCGGGGACAAAAAATCCCAAACGAGAAGGTGACCCGGCGGAGCTTCCGCTTCAGCTTCCTGTGAGGGGTCGTGGTAAAAGTCAGGCTCCTCTGGCCACTCCTTCATGGCCTGCTCAAAGTCACTCTGAGTGATCGGAGGGTCATACATGCCCAAGACCATCGTTTCCTGGCTCAGGCTCACGTTGTCCGGGCTCTGGTTTGGCCCCTTGGCCATGGTCTCGGCAGCTTGGCAAGCTTCCCAAACGGCTTCCAGACCTCCATCCGAGTTGTCTTCTTCCTGCAGATCTGTTTCGGCGTAAGGGTTTAAAAGCTGGTTATGAGGGTATAGGGGTTCACATCTATCTATCTATATATATATATATATATATACAAAATCTATATATCGCACTGAAAGAATCCCGCCTCGAGAGCAAAGCAGGTGGCGGCTGCAGGCCTCTTGGCTGTCGTCTCTGCCGGAGTCTCCAAGGTGGCGTCTGGCCTCTTGACTGTCGTCTCTGCCGAAGTCTCCAAGGTGGCGGCTGGCCTCTTGACTGTCGCCTTTGCAGAAGTCTCCAAGGTGGCGGCTGGCCTCTTGGCTGTCGTCTCTGCAGGAGTCTCCAAGGTGGCGGTTTGGCTCTTGGGAGCTTGGCCACTGGAGGTCGTGGAAGTCGCAGGTCTTTTCTTGACGACCTTGACCTTGACGACGGCCTCCTTGTCTGCGAGCTTGGCAGCTGGCTTCTTCGAGACCGGGGCCTGTCGAGGCACAGCCAAAACTTCAAAAAACAGACTTAAGCTCGACAAGCTCACAGGCAAGTATCTGGCCTGCCGTGCGGCCGGCTTCTTCTGGCTTCCTACTTTTGCCATCTGAAGAGCCTATAAACTGCAGCTATAGACGGCGACACATTTTTAAGCGTCCGGATTATACCACTTGGGAATGTACGTATAGGGCCGTCCGGCCCTTAGCAGATGGCGCAAGCGACTTGTTTTCCATGGGCCGTTTGCAGTCGGCCTGGACCTGGACCGTTTGAGCAGCTTATGGCTCATGGGCCGCTTGCAGTTGGCGTGGACCTGGACCGCTTGCAGCTTG